TAAGCTAACAAAATAGTGTACTATTTTAATATGCACACTCGCACAAGCACTATGCTTTGCTTTTTACTCTTTGTCCTCTTTAATCTTCTAGGTTGCCCAGTAGTATCGACGAACTGATTTGCCTCAATAGTCATTGCTTGTGACTTCCTGTCATCTTTTAAATGATTATATTCACAGTTTCCATTTCCAGGTCCTTATGTTTAGGTTTAGGTGTAGGTTTAGGTTTAGGTCCAGGTCCTTATGTTTACCTCGTACCAAGGAGCATCTACAATGTTTCTCATTGTTGAATTGCTATGAAATCTTTGTATTATTATTATATTATTTGATCAAGCACACCTCCATAGTGGCCATGTAGAAATCCACACAGTTCTCAATATTTGTTTGTAAAGTAGTAACTTATTATTGATCGACAGAGTGGAGCTTCTTTCAACTAGCCAATATAATTTGTATACATCATAATTAGTTTTTTTCTTTTTTTCTTGACGTGAACCTTCCAACGTAGTTTGACCTAAATACTTAGCTCTATCTGAATATGGTACTTGAATATTATTGATTATATCTGGTATATATTGCATTATTTTTTTGGTAAAATTAACGTGAACTGAAGTAGGAATATAGGTCTATAACGAAACCTCATAGACTGGTTTTCCTGGTTAAGGAATCATAATGACTTCGACCATTGTGCTTAGTATATTTATCCTTTATTTCTACAAGCAATTCATTTGGTGTAGTTAATCAAACTTCCTGTAATTGAACAGGTTCCTCCTAGCTTCCTTTATTCTCTTGAAATGCATTTCGTTTAAATCTATTATAGCTCTGCTTTTTGTGGACTACTTATGGCCTAGTTTCCATTTACTAGTTTAATAGGCGGATAGTGAATAATAGGTCTTTTTAGTTTTTTAGTAGTTTTCCATAAGGAATAAATCAGTTAGCTACCGTAATCTGTTAACTCTGTTAACTTTTAATCTGAATCTTTCTTAATATAAATATATTATCTATGGTGGCTCTATTTTGTCTAGATCCATTTTGGTAACCACCTATTTATTATATTCTCCAAATATTCTAATAATATATTGTAGATAATACCACAAAGAATTTTGTATATTAAAATTAGCCATGTAATTGACCTATAATTCTAGTAGTCCATCTAATCGTGTTGAAGTTATGTCTTAATGGTTTTCTCAAAATTCTGTGAGTTGACTATATGACAAATAAAGAGATTCTGAGAAGCACTTAATATAAGAGAGCTACTATCATTAAACAGGGAAAGGTCTCAGATTTAGACCATATTAAGAGCACACAAGAACTCTTTAAATTCTTAAAGATAGTCCTATCAGGGAAAATGAATCAATCCCTGCCCTCCGCAGATTCCGGGGGTTTCCTGACCCGGGAAACTAGTACCTGTTTAGGGTCCCTTGTCCAGGGTTACGGATGAAGTCCACAACGGCGGCCACGGCGGAGAAGCGGAGCTTCGGTACGGTGCGGATGGCGGAAGTGGCAACCCTCGATTTTAGGGTTGATATAGAATCAAGTCACCGAATGATTGCCGGTATAAGCAGTCCATCAATTACTGGCCAACGGCTTCGGGCGGATGAACTGGTAAATGGAAGGGCACTCTTTTGTCCTGAGACTGAGAAATCGATCTCAAAGGCGGAGGAACTAAGAAATGGTCAACGGCATAAGGATGCAGAAGGCAAGGAGAAACCACTGCATTAAAGATCCTAAGGGATATCTCTAGTAAAATTATCATGGCTGTGCGAAGCGAAATGATTTCTAGTACTGATCATGGATACCGGATACCAAGATCCGGCAGGAGAGGTATACTTCATGACAACAGGGCCTCTCAGGTCGTAATTCTGCGAAATCCCTGTGTTAAAAATACAATAAATATTGGTACATGGAACGTCAGAAGCATGTACGAGCCTGGGAAAATTCACAACGTTATACAAGAGATGCAAAGATTAAACATCGATATCCTAGGCATCAGCGATACAAGATGGTCGGGTGCAGGCAACGTCCCGACAAGCAACGGTATGATCTATTTCTCAGGAAATGAATACCCACATCACAGATATGGTGTAGCAATTGTCGTTTCAAGAAGAATGACACAGTCTGTCACTAATTTTTCGCCAGTGTCAGACAGGATCCTGCTCCTACAACTGCATACAAAAACTGCAAAACTTAATATTATACAGGTATATGCCCCTACTGCAGATAAATCAGATGAAGAGATTGAGCAGTTTTATGAACAAATAAATCAAGTTCTAAAGTCTACAAAGCCAAAAGATGTTACACTTATCCTTGGAGACTTCAACTCCAAAATTGGCAAAGGAAAAAGCTGAAAAAATGTGGGAGAATATGGTTTAGGGACAAGAAACGACAGAGGAGACAAACTTTTAGAGTTCTGTCAAGAGAATGATATGATAATTTCAAATTCATTCTTTAAGCTACCCAAACGAAGACTGTACACATGGACGTCCCCTCAACACACTAGGGAAAAAACAATTAGGAATCAGATAGATTATATTTTAATAAATGAGCGATACAGAAACTGTATAAGATCAGTTAAGGCTTATCCAGGCGCAGATGTTTCTTCAGATCATAACCCCTTGATAGCGCGGGTACACATTAGACTCAAAAGACCTTCAAATAAAACAAAAATAGATCACATAGATACCAGCCGCTTACAAGATCCAACAATTAAAGAAGATTTAAAACAATATATCAATGATAACTTACGAATGCTTTCTACAAAGACAGAGAACACGCATGTAGAAGACAAATGGCAAGATTTAAAAGACGCCATAATAAAACCTGCCCAGAAAATGCTTACCAAAGATAAACAGAAAAAAGGACGAGAATGGATAACAGAAAAAATTTTAGGTCTCATGGAAGAGCGAAGACAGTTAAAGGGAAAATGCAGCCAAAAATATAATGAAGTAAACAAACAAATCAGAAAAGAAATAAGAACTGCAAAGGAAAATTTTTATACAAGAAAATGCGAGGAAATCGAAGAACTACATCTCAAACATGACACTTTTAACTTACACAAAAAGATAAAGGAACTGACAGGTACACAAAAACGAAAACATCCCAATCTAATATGCAACGCAAATGGTGAAATAATAGCCGATCTACAAGAAAAGCTTAGGACCTGGAAGAACTATGTAGAAGAATTGTTCGACGATGAAAGACAAGAACCTAATATAGATAACTTACAAGGCTACGAAGGACCAGAAATAACTAAAGAAGAACTATTATACGCTATAAAAATAATGAAAAATGGTAAATCACCGGGTCCAGGCGGGCTCACATCAGAACTTCTTAAGCTTGTGGAAGGCGAATCAGTGAATATTCTACTCGACCTTTTTAACTGCATCTACAAAAGAGGAGAAATACCAAAGGAATGGCTACTTTCAACTTTTGTAACCTTACCAAAAAAGGTAAATGCAAAACAGTGCACTGACTACCGCACTATAAGCTTAATGGGTCATACATTAAAAGTATTCATCAAAGTAATCCACTCAAGAATTAACAGAAAACTAGATGCAGATATTAGTAATACTCAATTCGGATTTCGGAACGGGCTTGGAACAAGAGAAGCACTATTTGCACTTAACGTCATATGCCAAAGATGTCTAGATATAAACCAAGATATATATATATATATATATATATATGTGTGTGTTTCATTGATTACAACAAAGCGTTTGATAAAGTTCGTCACGATCACTTAATGAAACTGCTAGTAGAAAAAAACTTGGATAAAAGGGACATTAGAATTATCTCTAAGATTTACTATAATCAGAAAGCAAATATCCGAATAGAGCAAGAGACAACGGAGGAAATCGAGATCAAGAAAGGCGTAAGACAGGGTTGTATACTCTCACCGACCTTATTCAATCTATACTCCGAAGACATTATAAACACAGCACTTTCGGATCAAAATATAGGTATTAAGATAAATGGCATCCGAATAAACAACTTGAGATATGCCGATGACACGGTACTAATCGCAGAAACTTGGGAAGATCTTCAAATACTAATTAACAAAATAGTAGAATGCAGTGAAGAACACGGATTATCACTTAACATAAGCAAAACAAAAATAATGCTAATATCCAAATCACCACAAATCTTCCCTGACATAACCGTGCATGATCAAAGAATCGAATGCGTAAGAAGATATAATTACCTGGGAACTGTTATCAACGAAAATAATGAAGAAATCAGAACCAGAATAGAGAAAGCTAGAGCCACATTTACTAAATTGAAAAAGGTGTTCTGCGGAAGAGATCAAAGTCTAAAACTTAAAATTCGCCTTTTGAGGTGTTACGTTATGTCAGTTCTCCTCTACGGGATGGAAACATGGACATTGAAAAAGATCGATACCAAAAAGATAGAAGCATTTGAGTTGTGGATGTATCGTAGAATATTAAGAATACCCTGGACAGAGAAAGTAACAAATGTGGAGGTTTTGCGGAGAGTGCAGAAAGAGAAAGAGCTGATACTTACTGTTAAAAAGCGCAAACTACAATATTTGGGACATGTTATGAGGGGAGATAAATACCAGTTGCTGCAATTGATTATACAGGGAAAGATAATGGGAAAGAGATCTATAGGAAGAAGAAGGCATTCATGGTTGAAAAACTTGAGAGAATGGTACAATTGCACCAATTACCAACTGTTTAGATCTGCAGCATCAAAAATACGCATAGCTTTGATGATAGCCAAACTTCGGAACGAAGACGGCACTTGAAGAAGAAGAAGAGCACACAAATTCCCTTGACTCTTAATAAGAAGAATTGAAGAGCAATAAAAGAAACTGGTTAGGGCATATCTACGGCTAACACAATAATAAGAACAAAGATAGGAATCTGCCCATCCTCCAACTCACTATATTTTATGTTATTTGATGCAATATGTATAGACGATGTAAGAAAATTAAATTTTATTAAATAAAATTAGCGAATATATAAATATATTAAATTAGAGCTTTATTAAAACTTAAACATAACAGCTGGAGTTTCTTGCATTTCGCTTTCCGTCTCAAACTCCCCATCAACAGCAACCAGAATGATCTCGTAATTTACGCACGCGTTGAAATTCTCCAAAATCAGATAGTCCTCTTCCAGTTCGGGACCAGCTTTCAAATATTCCTGCTCTCCTTTTATCTTATATTTGATGTAAAAGTGCTCTCCGGGGTTGTTATCAATATCGGGTATCCATTTTATCATAGTATTGACCAAGCAGTTGGTGTTGATGTGGACCCAGTCTTTGTGGGTTACGTTGTGGGTAGTGGGTCTCTTGTCGTTGTCGTTCGGGTAGTTTATCTCTTCGGGCGCAGAGGTTGCATTAAAGTCATATAAGTAGAAAGATCTTGATTTGTAACAGTTGTCTTTTGTAGCTTGTTTTAAGTCTGTCAAGTTGAAGTCGATGGTGTATTTAAATGAAGGCATTGCTGGTTCGTATGGAATGTGCATCTCGAGGTCGACTTCAATTGATTTTCTAAAAAAAAATAATAAGTTCTCAAAAATTACATATATATTATATATTTATACAGGGTGGCATATTAAAGGAAGTGGTAGGAATATGGAACTAAATTGATTTTTATATTTAAGTTTATTTTAATAGGTTTGTTAATCAGTGCCAGGTGTAGTTTCCTAAAAAAATGAAGGCAACTAAAGAGGTATAAAAAAGTTTGCAACGTTAGTCGACGGTTACGAGTAGATTGGACAGTCAGAGTTATAATCCTTATATATTTTTATAAAAATAATATAAATCGATTTCAAAAAGAATTTACCCACATAAACCTGAAACTCTTTTTTTAAATTCTATCTTTACTTAAAGAAAATATAAGGAAATGTGTCTTACTTAATTACAAAAAAGACTAAAATAATAATTTTTGCATTAGCTGTCAAAATATGTCATTTTCTTTTAAAAGGACAACAGTAAAAAGCAGTATATATTAGAAAATAAAACTTTATTAATACAAAAATAATTACTAAGTATGGAAATCCTTAAAACACTGCCTCTTGAACAAGTCCGCAACGAGATAGTTTTTCTTGATAAACACTTAAATGGCTCATACCATCATATCTTGAATTTCATTATCGGTAATATTACTAGTCAAGTTTTTTTGTGCCGCGTATGTATTTATATATGTTGTTGATATCATATTGAATAGGTTGTCATCAAAAAATAGCCTGAAGAGCTGTAATGGACTACGATTTTGTTTAGGTCCGATTCCTGGTCTCCAGTAAACATCTTTAGGATGCTGGTACAGATCACCTATAAAGCATTGTGCAGATCCTAGTTTTTCGAGAATAATCAAAGGTTTTGTTTCTTCTTTGAGCAGTGTGGCAAGAGGTACGTCATCGTCGTCGGAATCCGACTCTTCTGCACTCTAATCTTGATTGTCAAAAATAACCTCCACATCATTTCTCAGCTGAGTTCCTGGTAAATGGTCTATCATTGTGATATCCTCGTCTTTTGAATTTCTTCTTCTTCTAGTTCCATGACCGTTACCGATTGTTGGATATCATGTTGGCTACCATATTCGCTATCGTGACTTATTTGACATCAGCTCTAAATAACGATGTAGTTGATTTTTCATACCATTGCCTTAGATTTTTCAGCCGTGTTTTTCTTCTACCAGGACCACGATTACCTTGGATCTTTCCCTGAATGATCAGATGAAAAAAAATCATATTTTTCAGGGTATTTCATAATGTGACCGAAGTCTCTTGAATTGCTATCTCTTATATTATCATTTGAATTGTCTGGAGGAAAAATAATTATACCATCAGGGGGCGTTGGAATCTTATTTGTCTTAAGTTCTACAATTAACTCAAGCAAATTTAGAAAAACGGTTTTCTAAAAAAAAATAACCATTTTGTAGTGCTTATTACTACTGTCCTTTTAAAAGAACAAAACAAAAATGGCCGTACACAAGAAAGTAACAAACAACTCAAAGCAATATTTCCACTATAATTACACATAAGTAAAGCAATGACTAGCTAATCATGTAAAAGGCCTACATTTGATTTGTTATTAAAAAAACTTACTTCCAATTAGCAACATCTATCTTTAATTTAAAAAAAAAAACAAAAACAATGCTATGCCGGTACGTAAACAAACTTTTAAAGCGAACTGATGAAATATCTTGATCGATATGTTTGACAGTAAACCCCACAGGCCCCATCTATCAACGGTAAGTTTAAGTTATTAATTTAAGGGCAATAGATGGATTGCCTTTTAAAAGAAAAGTAGTAGTATGAGGGTTAATGATAAAAAATAATTTTTTGTTAAACATAATAACTGTTTAATACTTTTAACAAAAATAATTATCAAAACAATTAAGTCAACAAGTAGCATCTCCGTTGCGGAGGTTGACAATCATCATAGCCACTGTAACTTTCGAAACAACTGCTGTAAATGGTAGTTTTGAGTTGCAATCATAACACTCTTTCGATATTAGTCTTCTTCCAACACTTCTGTTTTCTATCATGCCTTGGATTATGAACCGCAAGATGCTGTATTTTCTCTACGCATTATAAGTCCGAAATTTTGCAGTTTTTTTCTTTTATTACGCTTTCAAGTTCTTTTTCCTCGTACTTCTTAACGCTTCAATATTGGTAACTTGATTCATCCATGAGATTTTTAGAATCCTTTTGTATGTATACATCTGAAAGAAATTAAGTCTTGTTATCGCCTCTCAATTAAACGTCCATGATTCGATTCCATAACAATACACTAAACGCAAAATTTAGTCAGTACTACTATAAAGAATCCTGTCCATTTTTATAAATTTGGCACGTGGCTTTTCAATTCTTACTTTTATAAGCAGCAGTATAGTCGGTTTTTTTTGTTGTAAGTATTTTAAAATATGTTTACTTCTTTACCTTTTTGATATGCTGGCCTCTAACCAGTAAGGTTTTGTCAGTACTGTTGTATTGTGTATCATCTGATTTCCTCTGAATCTGCTTTAAATAATAGGGATAATAATATAGACTCTTGTGCGACTCCCCTCATAATTTCGAGTTCTTCGGTTGTTTATTACTCTTTTTTACTGCGGCTACTGATTGTAGTATAGGTTCGATATTATTCTTATATTTCGTACTTCTAGGTTTTTGTTTCTAAGTATTTTCATTAATTTATTATGTTTAAAATATCATTATCATCATGGCATCTTCACTCCTAGCGGACTGATTGCCGTTGGACTCTTCCAATTCATTCGTCACGGGGAATCAGTCCGCTTTACCATTTTGGATTTACGATTGGTTGTGTGTCTTGGCGTCTTCCACAATATTTTTTCATTCTTCCCTGTCTTTGCTTATATTTTTTCATTTTATAACATCCATCTTTTTAAGGTCAGCAATTATCTGGTTCTCTCATCTCGTTTGCGGTCTTCTTTGTGGTGTGCCTGATAATGGTCTCCATTTGGTAATTTTCCTAATAACTGCTTCTGGATGTCCTTTTAAATACAATAATACGCCCTACAAAACAATAATACGCCCAGTCCTAACATATGGTTCAGAGACCTAGACTCTAACAAAAAATAATGCAAAAATTTTGGGATATTTCAAAAGACAAGTACTGAGGCAAATTTCTGGAGCAGTGAATAACAATGGAGTGTAGAGAAGACTATACAACTTCGAACTGTATAGAATATACTAGGAACCTGATATCTTAAAACATATTAAGATAGGACCTCTGAGGTGGATGGGGAATGGAATGCGGATGGAACAAAATGACCCAGCTAGAAAAACATTCCTTGATAGACCCATTGTTCAGAGAAGAAGACGAAGACCTAGAACAAGGTTCTTTGATAACATCGACGAAGACATGAGAAATATGGGAATACATGCTTGGAATTATTAAGGAGGCTAGGACCCACGTAGGGTTGTAAAGCCAGAATAATGATGGATGTCCTTTCTAGATGACCTATCTATCTGAGTATCTGTGCCTTGATCTGTTGATGTCTTCTCCTTTCAAAAGCTCTCTGACTTCGTAGTTCACCAGTTCTCTAAATACATTAGTACCTAAGTTTAGTGGGCCTGGTATTCTCTAAATTATTTTTTTTTTCTAGAATCCTTAATCTTTCTTCATGTTTCTGTATCAGATATATTACTTAAGCACCATATGTGATTACTGGTCTAATTGCTGTTTTGTAAATTTTTAGTTTAGTGTTTTGAATGAATTATTTCATTAATTACTATTTTTTCCTTCTTGTATCTAGCCTTTAAAGTCTGTTTCTTCTTCAATATTAGCCTCCTTAATTGTTTAAATTATCGCACCATCATTTTCTTGGTCTTCAATACTTCTTCGTCCATTTGGTGACTTAGCTCATGCTATTCGTAATATCCTATCCTCTGCCATTCTACTAATGTGTTCGTTCCACTCCTGTTTCCGTTTTGTCTCCCATCCATTTATGTCTTCTTTATTGCATGCTCTTCTTATGTTTTCGCTTCTCGCCCTATCTAACAGACTTTTCCCTGATATTCGTCGGAGTATTTTCATCTCTGTTGTTTCTAGTAGTCGTCTCGTTTTAGATGTGTCACGTCTTGTCTCCACCGTGTATATTAATATAGATCTAATTACTGCTTTATAGATTCTTGTATTTGTGTCTTGTCTTAGGTGTCTGGTCTAACTGATTGATTACTATGTTTCTATCATTAGTTCTATTAACTGAGACCCCACAATATTTAAAGTGTTCTACCTTTTTAAAGTCATATTTGCCTTATAATATTTAACCTTGTAACATTAACTGTATTTTTTCTTGAGCATATTAGGTATTTTTTTTATTTAGATTTATTTACAAACCCTTCTTGGATGATTCCTTGCACTATTTCGCACATTCTTCCTTTAACCTTTTTAGAATTGCTAATCAATGCTAAGTCGTGACCGTACGCCAGTAGCTTTTATTATACCTTCTATAGTGACGATAGAGAGTCGCCCTGTCATATTCCAGTTATTATATCTACATTTTTGTAGATGCCGTCACCTGTTGCTGCCGTTAATTTCTCCATTGTCATTTTCGTAAGCATTATTAGTTTCATTGGAATATCTAGCTTTTTATGTCTTCATGCAAGCTATGCAAATCGATATCATGTTCGTAACACTTCTCAATTGGTTGTGATTATGTGCATTGCATCAATTGTTGATTTTCCCTCTCTAAACCCCTACTGGTAGTCTCCTATTTTAGTTTCAATGTATTTTGAGAGTCTGTCTGATTGACACTCCGGCGGGCTCGCTATCGGTCCTGTATGCCGAATTTTTACTAATTTCAAGATTACGTAAATGACTATACTAGGCTACTTATTAGGCCCATACTGCTCGGTATATGACTTATTTAGTTGTCAGTGAAACGCTGTGAAACGCTGAAGTAATAGGTGCTAAATTTACGAAAATTCCTGCCCCTGCGCCCCCGACGGAGTAAGTGTAATTAGTTTGGAGTTTTTTTCTGTTCACTTCTTATCACTTTTTATTTAGTAAAAAAGGTTTTT